GGGGGGGGGGGGGGGGGCGGGGGGGGAAGGCAGTAAGGGAGAGCGCGGAAGAGGGGAAGAAGAAGTACATACACACATCTTTGCCAATGTGCTGGCGATCTAGCAAGTGGGGGAAGTGGGATATTTACATGATATAGGGCATGCGGCCATCGACTGACTCGCCGGTGGCCGCGATGCCAGATGACAAGCTGGGGTCCAGGCGGCCAAGCAGGAAGGCTAGGTCTTGGTCGACCGGGTCATCGGGACGGGACACCGTGGACGCCATATTCCCGGGGGCTGACCGGGTAAACACACGCCCCCCGCTGTCGGCACATCGCCTCCGGCACCCGCACAAATGCCCGGGAGCCGGAGTCGCGGCGATGGTGGGCGAGGCCAGGGTCGATGGGCCGGCCGGTTGGATGTAGCACACACACTGGGAGGAGATCATCGGTGGGAGGAGACGTGGCGCGTGGTGTCCATGGCCGTTTGCCCCGGCGGAGATCGTCGCAGGGAAGGAAGGACCACCGGTTGGCGAAACGTCACCCGCGTCAGAGGCAAAGGAGTTTGGCTGGCGAGAAGTAGCACGGAGGGTGATCGGTGAGTAAAGGAGTGCACATGGAGAAAGAACGTGGCACGAAGGGGGAGAGAGAGAGGGGGAGAGAGGGAGGGGGAAAAAAAAGGAAAGAGGGGGAGGGGACACACGAGAAAGGGCGACTGAAGGGGTGCCACGCCCGGACGCGGTGCCCCGCCCGATGCGGCAGGTGCGCCGGATGCGGAGGCTTCGCTCAGAGTAAATGAGGATAAGCTGTTGGCCAAGAGGGAGGGTCCCACCTCGCCACACATGGTGACAGGTGACCCTCCGGGGGGGGACCTAGCCACAAGGAAGGGCCCGGGTTGGCTGGGGTGGGTCGGCAAGGACATGGTGGGAGGCGGGGCATGTGGTGTGCGTGTGTGTGTGTGTGTGTGTGTGTGTGTGTCTGCGTATGTGTATGGGCGTGTGCGCGTGCGTGTGTTTGTCTTACACCAGAGTGTGTGGGTGAAATAGGGGGAGAGGGGGGCAAGGGCAGGAAAGGTAGGCGGAGGGGGAGGAAGAGCGTGCTTGATTTTGGTAGATAAAGGGAACCCCTTGCGGGAGTGTTTTCTCTCTCAGGCAGATCTCACCGGGTGGGGGGGGGGGCGGAATGGGCAGGCGCCACCTGGGGGAGGGGGCGCTCCGAACAGCCACCGAACGCGAGAGCTGGACCAGGATATGGTCGGAGTGGGGAGCGCATGTCTGAGAAGGCCATATCGAGAACGAGAGCGCGAGTGAGCGCGAGAGAGCGCGAGAGAGAGAGAGAGAGAGAGAGAGAGAGAGAGAGATCGGAATATGAAAGGAGTGTCGGGGAGCACCAGTCCTCGTGTTGCCCATCCGGAGAGAGCCCGAAGCCGCCTCGGAGTCGTCCGGGACACGGGGGGGGGGGGAGGGGGTAGGTCAACGCGGGGACACCGGCCGGATCACCTCTGCTTGCCATCGAGGGCGCGGGCTCACGCTCGCCCCCCCCCTTGATGCAAGGGATGATCGATTCCGACGTGGCAACAGATGTGCGCCCCAGCGAAACAGGGGGCGATCTGGGTCCACCCTGGGGGAGAACGGAAGGCGGGGGGGGGGGGGGGGGCACAGCCTCGCGCCAAAGCACCTTCTCGTAGACCAGTCCTTTATTGGAGGAAGGCGGGTCGGCTGCCAGGTACCTCGCTCTCAGCCTGCTGCTGCAACCTGCGCCGGGGACCGAAAAAGAAGAGGGGCAGGCTCAAGCAGTGGGACAAGAGCGAGCAGGCGCCCCCTCTCCCCCGAGGGGAGGAGTGATTGAGCGAGCAAAACAGCCCATGGGGCATACCTAGATCACATCGTCCGCGCATGTGCCCATAGAGCGGTAAGCACGTGCGACCCCGTGGGGAGAGGCGAAAGAGGGTTCAAATCCCGGGCCCCGGCCTCGGGCCCTCGACAGTCGGGCCATCTTCCATCCCAGCGGTCCTGCTGTGCCCGCCAGAAACGGGCTCCAACGGCGGGTGAACCGAACGAGAGAACAAGAAAGAGGAGGGAAAAGCAGGAGGGAGACAGAGGAGACTCCATACGCCGGCGTCCCATGCCTCGTCCCCCCCCCCTCCCCGACATCAGGGCGGTCGGAGCCCTCAAAGGTGGGTAAATATTGGCTGGTGAATTATAAAAAGCCAAATAAAGCCCATCTGCCTGGAGGATAACGGGTCTATTAAACTGAGCTCACACGGCTCTTGGTGTACCCTCGCCTGCTGAGAACCCCCGACTCTCGCAGGACGCCTGGGGAGAACGGCATGTCAACTGTTCGTCGGGGCATGACCCGGCCCGGGGGAGGGGGTCAAGCGGTGTGAAGAGGCACGGCGCGGGAAGCACCTCCCCTTCGAAGGCGGGCTGTCCCTGCCCGGCCTCCTGACGCTGCTGGCCTGCGCGCACATCGAGGAGCGAATGCTCCAGACCACACGTGTTGGCGGTTGAGCGTTTTTGCCGGTGCGCCCTGACCCCCACCCCCGTCCCCCCCCCTCCCCATCCCCGAACTGCGGCCCTGGTCATTTTCCATGGACCCAACGTTCTTGCTGAGCTGCCCGTCTTCGTGCCCACCCGCACCCGGAGACATAGCTGCCTGTTGAAAAGCCCTCGGTCCCACGCTGGTCAATGGCCTGGGGCAGGGTCTCGTGCAGGGGGCGGTGTGCGCGTGCGCGTGCGCGTGCATGTGTGCGAGCGAGGCGAGAGCGCCGCGGCGAGGCAGAGCGAGAGCGCCCATGCGCGACAGACCGATGGGACTGATCTACGAGCGGGGACCGGAGCGGAGACGTGTCATTGACACGGGGCCTAAGGCGCTCTGGGCGGAGGGCAGGGTCGCCCAGAAGCCATGGCAAATGTCCGTCTCTCCCCCGGAGGGCGGCGCGCCCGCGCAACATGGTCTCACTATCCTGCCTTCCGTCGCCTCGGGCCGCATGCTGCAACTCGGCTGGGCAGGCAGTCTCACACCAATTGCGAGCGCGTCGGACTTGGGGCAACTCCGCCACTCTTGTCAGGGGGCCAGCACCTGTGCTTTGTCTGCCGCGACCCGTCCGCCAGCGCGGCCCCCGCCCCCCCCCCCCGCCCCCACCCGCGCGTTGCCTGCATTTACTCCGACCTTTGTTCCCCAAGCTTTCCCCAGCACCTCGGCTGCTGGTGGACACATATCCGGGGCGCGGGACCGCACCACAGACCGGAGTAGTGCACTGAACCCCCCCCTTCTCGCCCTTGCCTGTCCTGCTGCTCCCTTCTTCCGGCCCCTTCCTCGCCGTCGCCCCTCAGGCATGCCCAAGTGCCGCCCCCCCCCCCCCCCCCCCTCTGGGCGGGCCTCCGCCCGTGTCTCTCCCGCCCTTTCCCGCCGGTCCGGGGGCAAGAGGTTGTGAGCAAGGGTGGGGGAGGGGGCGGCGGCACGCGCCAGCTCGCGCATTCGCGCGCGTTTCCCGCCCGGAAAGCCCGCCCGATCCGTCCAAGGGTGTTTCATCGACCTTTATTTTTTGGCATACCTGCCCCCGGATTCGGCCCCCCCCCCCCGCCCCACTGTTGCCGGCTGGCTTCCCAGGCGCTACGTCGTCTTCCGGGCCCCGCTCGCGCGTGCTCACCCAGACACGCAAGCGTAGGCAACATGCTTGCGAAACGTTGGAAGGCCTTGCCAGCAAGCAGGTCAACGCGAGATATCAAGCGAATAAACCGGCGGGCAGGCGCGAGAAAGACACGAAGCCGAGGTTCGGCCGGTGCAAAGGGAACATGGTTCCTCCCACCTCCCCCCATTCGCCCCCCTCCCCCCCCCCCCCCCCCCCCCCCTATACACTGTGCTCTCAGCTTCTTTCTCTCTCCCGCCTCTCTTTTCCTTGTGGGTGTGGAGCACATGCGTTGGCAGTGTGCGACGGTTACCGCCGCCGAGCTCGGGTGTGGTCCCAACCGGGGGCGCAATCCGGCGGAAGGTGAGGCTGGAACGTGGGCGGAACGGCTCGGGGGGCAGGACGCTCATCTTCTAGATGCTAGCTGCTTCTCCCCTCCGGCGGGGGGGGGGGGGGCCGTGACACATGGGCCTCATAGACTGGCTTGTGGCCTTTCGAGGATGTGTCCACTCCCCTCATCGGCCACCCCTCCCCAGCTTGGACTTGACGTGCCACCAAGCTCCCCCCCTCCTAACTCCCTCCTGCCCCATTCCCTCGTCCTTGTGGGCACAGCAGGGGCGGGCGGGCCCCCCCGCATATGCCCAGGAATCTGGCAGAGTCAGTCACCAACAGGTCTCTCTCTCAGACTCTCCTCCTCTTGGCCCCCTTCGTCCCCGGCCTGCCAGCAACGGCTGGAAGGAGCCACAGCCCCGCCGGATCGCCTTCTTCGGCCACCGACCCCTGCTTTTTCCCGGCCTGCCGGCCCGCATCATCCTTCTCCTCCTCCCCATCCCACTCCTAGCCCCCTCCCCCTTCCTCGCCTCTCTCTCTCTCTCTCTCTCCTTTCCTCCTTTCTCCTCCTTCCTCCTCCTCGGCGTCTCTCTCCACTCTCTTGCGCCATCGCAAAGCCCTTGGGTGTGGGTTCCGTTCCTTTGCCGCCCGCCGCACGGCCAACGACCCCCACCCTTCCCTCCGCGGCTGTGACTTCTCCACTTCTTCCTCCCTGATCGCCATGAGCTCCCCACCCTCCTCGCCCATGCCGATGGAGGATGATGACGGCATGTCATCGGCCCACGGCTCGCCCGCCGCCGGTACCCCCCCTCCCACTCGTACCCGGTGCGCGGCCTGCCTTCCTTTCTCTCTCTCTCTCCCTCTCTCTCGCTCTCACTGGCCGCCCCACAGCTTGACATCCGCCCTACCTCGCCACTAACCTCCTGTATCCCCCCTCCCTCCCTTTGTCCTTCTTCATCTCTCCCTCTCCTTCCGACACACGCCCACACGCTCACACATCACGTCAACGCACATACACACACACACGGACACGCACACGCCAACGTACTCCGAATTCTCGCCGACAGCAAGAAGCGCGCCAATCACAATGAGCTCGAGCGCCGTCGGCGTATGTTTCAAAAGACTCGCCTGGATGACCTGCGTCAGGCGATCCCCCACCTGCGTGTTGAGCGCCCATCCACCGTGCTTGTGGTCACCAAGGCCAAGGAGTACATCACCCATCTGCTGAGCACCCTGCGCGATCGGCACATGGAGCTTTCCAAATTCTGCCTCGCTCGTGGGCTCGCCCCGCCCCCTGCCTTCAACCCCGACAATTACTCCCCCGTCAGCCCGAAGCAGCTTGGCTCGGGGCGAACCCCCACCCCGCAACCCTCCTCGGACAAGGGCTCTCCCGCCGAGTCAACCGACCTTACTGCACGCATGGCGGCAGGTGCGACTCTCTCTCTCCCTCTCTCCCTCTCTCTCTCCCTCTCTCCCGCCCACCTTCCGCCGCCTTGCGTCTTCTCTCGCACCCGCCCCGGCACTTCCCCTCCTTCCCCGACCCTAACTATGTGCCCTTGCATCGCACGTCCCGAACCCCATGCCGCCTCCAGACCTTCAACTTCTCCAAGCCGAAGAGACAGCCTTGCGAAGCGAAATCGCCACGCTGGAGCAGCGCCTTGAGCGGCACCCGAAGCGCCAGCGTCACTCGCCGGCCGAGCCCTCGATACCGCCCATCAAGCGCGAGCCACGTGTCAGCATCAGCTCCCTCCTATCAGACCCGGAGCCCGCCGACCAGCATCATCACCATCACCATCACCATTACAACTTCCACCAATCGGCCCCACCGCAGGTGGCTCCGCCGCAGCCGACCCCCTCGCGCCGCCCGAGTCTGGTGGAGCTGAGTGAGGTCTCGGTGGCCGTGATGGCTGTGGCCCAGGCCCAGCGCTCGGGCGCCTCCCAGGGGCTCGGCCTGCCGCAGACTGGCGGGGATTACGCTGCAATTGCCGCTGTGCTGCCCTCCCTGCCGGCCGTAGTGCCGGACAGCGAGGTCATGGAACGGGCAGCTGCTACGGCCGCCGCCGCCGCCGCCGCCGCCGGGGCTGCTGCAGCCGGGACCAATGCCCTTCCCAACAATTTCACCTTCCCAGACCCGGAGCCCTCGGCCGATCCCGAAGCCCTGACCGCCCCGATCAGCTCATCCTCCAGCGCCTCAGGCCTCGGTGGAATTGGGGCCCTGGCTGGCGGCGGGTCGTCACCCTTGTCACGCAGTGGCTCCCCGGCTCCCGGATCCATGACCTCCGGAGGGATCGAAGACTCCCTGAGTTCCAGCCAGCTGGTCGACGAGAATGCCTTCATGTCACCCTTTTCGCCGGCAGCTCTGCTGGCCAATCCTGCACTTCATCGCTTGCAAAGTGGCGAAAGCAAATTCTCCGAGCGCAAGGACCACGCAGATCGATCCTTCGAGCTGCTCAAAGCCGAGTGCCACCGGCGTCGTGGCAGCGTGATGAACCCATCGGATGTGGCGGCCGCCGGTCCGGGCGGGGCCCTCGCGCATTCCATCGGCTCCGATGTCGGTGCCGGCATCAACAGCGATGGCCTGGCCGGTGGGCCTCTTTCTCCTCCGGCTGGTGGATCGGTCATCGTCCGGCGAGGCGGCCTCTCGGTGCAGGCGTCCCCGGCCGCGATGCTTTCCATCCCAGCAGCCATGGGTTCGACATGCGGCCTGGGTGCTGCTGCCTCGCCGGCGGCGCCATCCCCCCCCGCGCCTCTGGCTTCCCCTTCACCGGCAGTGACTCCATCTTCGGGTTTGTCAGTGCCAGCCCCCACCGGCGTGGCATCCCTCCTTGCCGCCAGCACGCCGGGGCTCGTGCACCCGGAGTCCGGGACATTCCATCTGCTGCCCCAGCTGCGCGAGGAGGGGCCACCCGGCGGAGGGCCAGACATTTCCGGAACCTCTGCCTCTCGTCTGGCGTCCTCGTCAGCTCCTCACAACCAGCTGCCCTCCGACGGGGTGATGAGCGGACCGTCGCCCGGGTCGATCGGCTCCGGCAGCCTGCCCGGGTTACCGGCGCTCGGAACCACCGTCCTGCCCAGTGCCAGGCTTCTCCTGGCTGGCGGGAGTGGCTCCGCCGAACTGGAGACATCGGCCGCCCCGGGTGAGTTCGTCGCTCCGGCGACCGGCATGGCCTCTCCCGTTGCTGCTGCTACCCTTGTCGCCGCCACTGCCCCGACCACCGCTGCTCCGCCACCAGCTCGTAGCGGGCAGGTCGAAAATGGTGCCATCATCCTGGCCCAGTTTGCCGAGCATGCTCGGCGTCTCAGTTGTCCGAGCATTCAGCTGGAGGAGGAGTGCGTGGCGGCCGCGGCGGCCGCAGCCGCGGCAATCGCTGCGGCTGCTGACTCCTCAGGCATTGTCGATCGCAGTGGCCCCTCCGTCCTTGAATCAGCATCCGGCAGTTCTAGTGTCTGATTATATGCGTGCTCCACAACCTTTCCCCTCTCCCTCCTGTGTCCTCCCTCTCCCTCTCTCCCTCTCTTTCCTGTCCCCTTTGTGGTTTGCGCATAGTGTGTGCCATCCGTTGCTTTGTGCCCATTCCTCCCTCCCCCCCCCCCC